ATCAAATGCAGGCAGATTGAACTAGTTTAGTTTGGGAAACCTGGTCAGTGTGGACACGGGTTGGGCAGAAGGGTCTGTTTCCATGCTGTATGACTCTATGGTGCTATGACTTTAATTTTGCTTTCACTAAGTACATGTATTTTATATAAATATATACCTTTCTATTGTTTCTCTTTCACCATTAGTACAAATAGATTCACAGAAAAATAGAGTGCTGATTTAATACTTCAGTATAATGGAGAACATATTAGTGGTACATGTTTTTATTTATAATTTTGGTTTATTTTCTTACAGTTGCATTGAGCAAAGAAATTGTGAATGTTTTCACAGTTTCAAACCGATCAAACAAATAAATGATTCAGTTTTCCCCACTTATCTCCCTGTGCCCCACCACCACCACTGCCAAAAAGTACAAGCTGCCCTCTGGTATCTTAGTCAAGTCTAAGTATGTGCAGTAAATTCTTCACATGATGTCTGTTGTTTTGTGCACTTTTGAGCTTAACTAGGCTTTGAGTGCGGGGTGATCAGGCTGAGGAATTCTGTCTATCCTCCAAGTTCCTTACCAGGGTCACTTGAGAGCTGTTGTGATAGCTGTTCTATATTGGGTGACATATTAACCAATTCAGCCCAGAGTGGGATTGGATATTGAACATAGAAACATAGAAAATAGGATTAAGAGTGAGCAATTTGGCCCTTTGATCCTGCTCTGCCATTCAGTCTAATTATGGCAGACTATCCAGTTCAGTACCCTGTACCTGGGTTCTCCCTGTACTCTTTGATCCCTTCAGCCCTAGGAACTCCTTGAAAGCATTCAATGTTGTGGCTTCCTGCGGCAGAGAATTCCACAGGCTCACCACTCTGTGTATAAATTTCTCCTCCTCTCGGTCCTAAATGGCCTATTCCGTATCCTTAGACTGTGACCCCTGGTTCTGGACTCCCCAGTTATCAGAAACATGTTTCCTTCATTTTCCTGTTAGAATTTTATACATTTCTATGGAGTTCCCGTATGCTCATTCTTCTAGACTCCATTGAATTTAGTTACAACTAATCCAGCCTGTGTTCATGTGTCAGTCTTGCTGTTGCAGTAATCAGTCTGGTAAACATTTATTGCACTCCCTCCATAGCCAGAACAACCCTCCTCAAACAAGGAGACCAAAACTGCACACAGTATTGTAAGTGTGGTTTCACCAAGGCCCTGTACTATCACCTCTGCTCCTGTACTCAAATCTGCTTGCTGTGAAGGCCAGCGTACCATTTGCTGCCTTTGCTACCTGCTGCACCTGCATGCTTACTTTCAGCGACTGGTGTACAAGGACACACAGGTCTTGTTGCACCCCTTTGCTCAATCTATTGCCATTAGATAATAATCTGCCTTCTTGTTTTTGCTACCAAAGTCAATAACCTCACGTTTATCCATGTTACACTTTGTCTGCCATGCATTTGCCCACTCACTCAACTTTCCAAATCGCATTGAAGCATCTCTGCATCCTCCTCCACGCTCGTGCGCACAAGCACGAGCATCTAAATCATTAACATATGTTGTGGCTAACACTGATCCCTGTGGTATCTAAGACAACAAGGTGCAGGGCTGGATGAACACAGCAGGCCAAGCTCCTATGATGCTGCTTGGCCTGCTGTGTTCATCCACCCTGTGGTATCTATACTGGTCACTGCTTACCACTTGGGAAAAAAAACCTGTTTATTCCTACTCTTTATTTTCTGTCTGCCAACCAGTTCTCTATCCATGTCAGTGTTCTACCTCCAGTGACATCTGCTTTAATTTTGCATGCCATGGAACTTTATCAACAGTCTTCTGGAAGTCCAAATAAACCACATCCACTGGCTTCCCCCTCATCAACTTTTCTAGTTACATCCTTGAAAGATCCCAGTAGATTTGACTAGCATGATTTCTCTCTTGTAAATGTATGCTAACTCTGTCCGAATCTGTCATTGGATATTCTGAGAGAGTCCCACACTGCAGACCAGTGCGCCATTAACCAGTTATGCCTTTGGCAGAGCAAAAGGTTGGCTTGGGTAGGAGTAAACTGGGGAAGAATCAGACTTTATAACACTTTTTTTGGGGGGGGGAACACAGGGAAAGAAGTGGGCAGTTCACCTGACAATCTCATTAGCAAGGTATTCTTTAAATGATGTTTCGAGTCCTTTGTAATTAATAATGGTACTGTTACTGCCTCAATAACTGTTTTAGAGAGAGAGAGTTTTGACCCGGTTTCAAGAGGAGATAGCAATATCCAGTGCCTTGTGATATATCTAATGAAATATACAATGAATTTTACTGTCGTTCTTAAGACCTGATGAACTTTGAAATATAATTCTTGCATTTTTTTTACTATAGGTTTCTTTGATGGGAGAACAGCAGATTATATATTCATGTTGTTTTTCAACTGGATTTGCACGGTGGTATCCTTTTTGTGAAGCAATGTTGAAAAAAATTGCGTTTCTATTCTAAAATATATCTTTGAAGTACTTTTTGAAGTATACTGTTATAATAATGGACACACAGCAAAGTCCCCCACACAGCAATACTTGTTTCTAGTGATATTGATTGAAGGATAAATATTAGCCAAGACAGTGGGGAAAACTCGCCAGCTGTTCTTCAAAACAATACTACACGATCTTTTCAGAGTTGGTGAGAAGGACCTAGGATTAACATCACCTATGAAAGACAGCAGGTCTGAAGGCACTGCATTCCTTTTTTACTGAATTGTCAACCTACAGTTTCTTTGGCCTCAAGTCTCTGAAGTGGGTCTTGAATGTACAACCTCCTTACTCAGAGGCGAGAGCAACTGAGCCACAGCTGACAGCCGTAGTAAAGTACACAGACTAGAATCGCCCTGGTTAATACTCTGCTTTGAGTTAGCTGGGGCCACCCATGCGCATGCAAGTGTGAGGAGATCATCTGATTGATTTCTAGTGAAAGTAGGTTGAAATTGGGCTGAGCTTTGTGTCATTTGAAAATTTGGAAATATTACATTTAGTTCCCTCATCTAAGTTATGAGTATATGTTGTGAAAAGCTGGGGTCCAAGCACTGATCCCTGTGGTACTGCACTAGTCATTGCCTTCCACTTGGAAGGAGACCCATTTATTCCTGTTCATTGTCTCAATTCGTACACATTCAAAAAGCATGAGGCAGGCTATTGGAGGAGATTTATGCCTATAATCATAATCCTGCACTGAATCACTTTGATCATAAGAAATATGAGTAGGTGTAGATCATTATCCCATGGAGTCTGCTCCACCATTCAGTAAGATTATGGCTGATCAGATGTAGCCCTAATTTCACTTTCTTGTTTGTCCTGTAATCAGCTTGACTACTTTGTAGATCAAAAATCTGTATAACTTGGCCTTGAATATCTTCAATGACCCAGCCACCACTGTTTGTTTGGGAAGAGAACTCCAAAGGCCAATGATCCTCTCAGATAATAAATCCCTCCTTGTCTTTGTCTTAGATGGAAAACCCCTTTTTTTAAAACTGTCTTAGTTCTAGATTTCCCTTCGGAAGGAAACATACTTTCAATATTTACCCTGTCAAGGCAGACTATGAAAGAAGCAAAAAGGAAGGATAACTCAGGAGATATTATTAGAGATGTTGGAAATCATGAGGGTAAGAAAGTTAGCATAAAGGCACTTTACCTGAATGCTCGTAGCATTTGTAACAAGGTTGATGAGTTAACGGCACAAATCATCGCGAATGAATATAATTTGGTAGCCATTACGGAGACATGGTTACAGGATGGTCACGACTGGGAGTTAAATATCCAAGGGTACCAGACTATTCGGAAGGACAGACAGGAAGGTAAGGGAGGTGGTGTAGCTCTGATATTCAAGGATGACATCAGGGCGGTGCTGAGAGATGATATAGGTTCTATGGAGAATGAGGTTGAATCCATTTAGGTGGAAATTAGAAATTCTAAGAGGAAAAAGTCACTGATAGGCGTAGTCTATAGGCCACCAAATAATAACGTCACATTGGGGCGGGCAATAAACAAAGAAATAACTAATGCCTGTAAAAATGGTACGGCAATTATCATGGGGGATTTTAATCTACATGTAGATTGGTCGAACTAGCTCGGTCAGGGTAGCCTTGAGGAGGAGTTCGTTGAGTGTATCCGTGATAGTTTTCTTGAACAGTATGTAATGGAACCGACGAGGGAGCAAGCTATCCTAGATCTGGTCCTGAGTAATGAGACAGGAATAATTAATGACCTCGTAGTTAGGGATCCTCTTGGAAGGAGTGATCACAGTATGGTTGAATTTAGAATACAGGTGGAGAGTGTGAAGATAAAATCCAATACCAGGGTCCTGTGCTTGAACAAGGGGAACTACAATAGAATGAGGGGGGACTTGGCTAAAGTAGACTGGAAACAAAGATTTTATGGTGGGACAGTTGACAAGCAGTGGAGGACTTTCAACGCAATTTTTCAAAGTGCTCAGCAAAAGTATATTCCAGTGAAAAGGAAGGACTGTAAGAAAAGGGGTAATCTGCCATGGGTGTCTAAAGAAATAAGGGAGGCTATCAAATTGAAAGAGAAGGCATACAAAGTGGCCAAAAACAGCATGAAACTAGAAGATTGGGGAAAACTTTAAAGGTCAACAGAAAGCCACAAAAAGAGCTATAAAGAAAAGTAAGATGGAACATGAGAAAAAACTAGCACAGAATATAAAGACAGATAGCAAAAGTTTCTATAAATATATAAAACGAAAAAGAGTGGCTAAAGTAAACGTTGGCCCTTTAGAGGATGAGAAGGGGAATTTAGTTATGGGATATGATGAAATGGCCGAGGCATTGAACGGGTACTTTGTATCGGTCTTCACAGTAGAGGACACTAATAACATGCCAGTAATTGACAAAGAGACGAAGGTAGGTGAGGACCTGGAAACAATCATTATTGCGGAAGAGGTAGTGTTGGACAAGCTAATGGAGCTAAGGATTGATAAGTCTCCTGGCCCTGATGGAATGCATCCCAGGGTACTAAAAGAGATGGCGGGAGAAATAGCAGGTGCACTGGCGGTAATTTTCCAAAATTCGCTGGACTCTGGGGCAGTCCCAGCAGATTGGAAAACAGCAAACGTGACGCCACTGTTTAAAAAGGGAAGTAGACAAAAGCTGGGGAATTATAGACCGGTTAGCTTAACCTCTGTAGTGGGGAAGATGCTTGAGTCTATTATCAAGGAAGAAATAGCAAGGCATCTTGATAGAAATTGTCCCGTTGGGCAGACGCAGCATGGGTTCATGAAGGGCAGGTCATGCTTGACAAATCTTTTGGAATTCTATGAAGAGATTGCGAGCAAGGTGGACAATGGGGACCCAGTGGATGTGGTGTACCTAGATTTCCAAAAGGCCTTCGACAAGGTGCCGCGCAAGAGGCTACAGCATAAGATAAGGATGCATGGCATTAAGGGTAAAGTATTAGCATGGATAGAGGATTGGTTGACTAACAGGAAGCAAAGAGTGGGGATAAATGAGTGCTATTCTAGCTGGCAGTCAGTGACTAGTGGTGTGCCTCAGGGATCGGTGTTGGGACCGCAATTATTTACAATTTATATAGATGATTTGGAGTTGGAGACCACGTGTTGGGTGTCAAAGTTTGCAGATGACACTAAGATGAGTGGCAGAGCAAAGTGTGCAGAGGACTGTGAAACTTTGCAGAGGAACATAGATACATTGAGTGAGTGGGCAAAGGTCTGGCAGATGGAATACAATGTAAATAAATGTGAAGTCATACATTTTGGTAGGAGTAATAGTAAAAAGGATTATTACTTGAATGGTAAAAAGTTGCAGCATGCTGCTATGCAGAGGGACCTGGGTGTCTTTGTGCATGAATCACAGAAGGTAGGTCTGCAGGTACAAGAAGTAATTAGGAAGGCAAATGGAATTTTGTCCTTCATTGCTAAAGGGATTGAGATTAAAAGCAGAGAGGTTATTTTGCAGCTGTATAAGGTGCTGGTGAGGCCACACCTGGAGTACTGTGCGCAGTTTTGGTCTCCTTACTTGAGAAAGGATGTACTGGCACTGGAGGGGGTGCAAACGAGGTTCACTAGGTTGATTGCGGAATTGAGGGGGTTGGCTTATGAGGAGAGACTGAGTAGATTGGGATTATATTAATTGGAATTCAGAAGATTGAGGGGGGATCTTATAGAAACATATAAAATTATGAAGGGAATAGATAAGATAGAAGTAGAGAGGATGTTTCCACTGGCAGGTGAAGCTAGGACAAGAGGGCATAGCCTCAAGATTAGAGGGAGCAGATTTAGGACTGAATTGAGAAGGAACTTCTTCACCCAGAGGGTTGTTAATCTATGGAATTCCTTGCCCAGTGGAGTAGTTGACGCTACTTCAGTAAACGTTTTTAAAGATAAGGTAGATATTTTTTTGAACAATAAAGGAATTAAGGGATACGGTGAGAACGTGAGTAAGTGGATCTGAGTCCACGAAAAGATCAGCCATGATCTTATTGAATGGCGGAGCAGGCTCGAAGGGTCGGACGGCCTACTCCCGCTCCTAGCTCTTATGTTCTTATGTCATGTTCCCTCAAAATGTTATATTTCAATAGGATCTCCTCACTTTCTTCTAAACTCTTCTTGGCCCAACCTGCTCAATCTTTTCATTTTGAGACAACTTCATCCCAGGAGTCAGCCTAGTGAGCTTTCCTGAATTGCTGCAGTAAAATACAGATCATGCCAATGCCTTATACCTTATAGCAAGAGTTCTGTACTTTTATACTCCACTCCTTGCAATAATGGCCACACCTCATTTGCCTCTCTAATTACTTGTATTCTGCTTTTCTGTTGTTCTTGGTAAAGTGGGTAACCTCTATCACTATAATTTCCCCTCTGCCGATCTTTTGCCTACTCCCTTGATCTATCTCTCTTCCTTTACAGACCCTTTGCATCCTCATTACTTGTTTTCCTCCTGATCTTAATATTTTCTGAAAATTTGGCTGCAATATAGTTGGTCTCATCATTCACGCCATTAATATGGATGTAAATAGTTGAGACCCCAGCACTAATCCCTGTGGTACTCCACTCAGTACAGTTTGCCAACCTGAAAATTATCTGGTCATTCCAAATCTGTTTTCTGTAGGTTAATCACCAATCTGTCAATGCTAATATCACTCCCAAAAGTATTAGTTTTGTTATAAAGTAACGTTTTATGGCGCCTTATGGAATGCCTTTTGGAAATCCAAATACATTATATCTGCTGATACCTTATAGTTCATCCTGCTTGTTACATCTTCAAAGAATTCTAATGTGTGTCAAACACTATTTCCTTTTCACAAAGCCATGTTGACTTAGCCTGACTGTATTACAATTTTCTAACTGTCCTGCTAAATAATGAATTCTCAGATTTCCCAGTGACAGATATTAAGCTAACTGGCTTATAGTTTCCTGATTCTTGTTTCTCTCTTGTCTTGAATAGAGGTGTTACAGTTGTAGATTTTGAAAGAGGAGCTTGTGCCACTTGCTGGGCTTTGAAAGAAGGGTGTGTACCAATTGCTAGGCTTTGAAGGAGGGGCTTGTACTTATGACGGACTGGGAAAGACACAAGTCTGCACAATGTTCCTATTTTGCCAACTTCCTGACCCTTTTGCAATATTAAATCATTGGAATGTATACACTTAAAGAAGCACCTATTGATAACTTAAAAGGAATGGACACGTCATTTGTTTTTTTTTCCTGATCAACAACGTAACAGATAGTTGGATTAACCATGGGAATGCTTGTAAGTATGTAGGAGGAGGCTGTTCCACTTCATGAAAATCTTGGTGTTCAAATTGAAGATGATGGGAAAGTTGCCGTTTTAGTCTGTGCGTGACCACACTTAATGTTCCATTTTGGGCGAGTAGAGGGAGATTGTTGGTAAACTTTACTTTGGGGGATAAAAAGCCCTGACAATCATCCTCCACTTTGAAATGCCGTTTTGCTGATCAAATTAAACATGAGATCAGAAAAGTAAATAGCATTCGGGGTTACATTGATGTAAAAGAAAAGCTTGATTATGTTTAGCATTAGATATTTGGTGAGTTTTTGACTACGTCCCATTGTGTGTCTCCCATTTGTTTTGCCATCAAGGGCAGAGCCTTTGGCTATTGTGACTGCAAGTTATGTTCAAAAGCACAATATGAGTAGAGATTTTTCCCTTTGCTCCTGTTTCCTTTATTATGGAATATCTGGAGGCATTTTGTTTTTTATAAAAATGTGCACTGCAACTTCAGTTTGTATCTCATTGAGAAGATATTAAGTGGCATATCAAAAAAATGGCAGTTTTATTTCCCAGCCTGGTACTGTATATTATGGGTTTCTTTTAAACAAAAATATTCCTACTGTATTGTTTCTTTATTAATCTGATTGGGCATGTGAAGAATTTGGGACAACATTTTTTCCTTCCCCTGTCCCTCCTGGAGAGTGCTTGTTAATTTGAAGGAATGTCTGGCACTTTAAAGTTTTGCCCGAGTCCATGGCTATTCTAAATGCAAAACAGCTAGAATGTGGATGTACTCCAAGGTTGCAGAAGTGAAACCACAACTCAACCTTGTGTGTCCGTATTAAGGAGTGGAGTTTATGGATTGACAAGAGGGGGAAAATAATCCCACTTCAATTTGAGAATTCTTCAGTGAGGGAGAATGAATTGCTTCTTGAATAAAATTGCTACAAGTTGGGAGGCGTATGTTATGTTGGTTGTGTTATGGTTAAGGATAAGGATAAATAAATGGAACGTATTGATTTCCCTTTTCTTTTTGACAGATTCTGTTTGTCCCCCTTGTTTTGACGGTGGTATACGTGTGGGCACAACTCAACAAAGACCAGATTGTAACATTTTGGTTTGGGATGACATTTAAGGTGAGTGAACCTAAGTGTTGTTGTTGATATTAAGTGTTGAAGCAAGGTCTGCAGTTCCCGGTAGTCAGTAAGCACACCACTTGATTTGTTACAGCTCCTTCAACTGTATCTTCTACTCCCACAACCTCCACACCTAGAAGAACAAAGACAGTAGACACATGTGAACACCACCACCTACAAGCTCCATCCAAATCTCTCATTATCCTGAACAAAATCACCATTCATTTACTATTACCGGGTCAAAATCCCAGAACAGCACAGTAGGTGTACCTGTATCTGTTAACCAGGACAACAACAGTTGCTGCAATTGTTTGAAGACTGATATCTGTAATATTGTCAACCACTAGAAGAGGCCAAGATGGATCATCCATTTGGTACATATGGCTGAAGATTGCTGAAGTACTAAATGCTTCAGCCTCATTTTTTAATACTGATGTGTCGGGCTCTTCCATCATTGAGAATAGTTGTTGAATTGTAGAATGAGTTGTTTAATTGTCCACCGCCATTCACAACTGGATGTGGCAGCACTGAAGAGCTTAGATCTGATCCATTGGTTGTGGGTTCTGTGTATCACTTGCTGCTTATGCTGTTTGGCCTGCAGGTAGTCTTGCTTGGAACTTCACTAGGTTGACACCTCATTGCTTTTTAAAGCTTTGCCTGGTGCTGCTCCTGGTATTCCTCCGGCACTCTTCTGTTGAACCGGGGTTGATTTCCTTCAGCTTGATGGTGAAGGATAAGTGGGGGCTATACTGATCCATGAGGTTGCAGATTATGCTGGAGTACAATTCTGCTGCTGTTGATGGCCCACAGTGCCTCACAGATGCCGAGTCTTGAGTTGCTAGATCTGATCAAAATCTGTCCCATTTAGCACAGTGATAGTGCCACACAACACGATGGAGAGTGTACTCAATATGAAGGTGGATCTTTGTCTCCACAAGGACAGTGCAGTGGTCAGTCTTGCTGATACTGTCATGGACAGATAAATCTGCAGATGGCAGATTGGTACGGATGAGGTTAAGTATGTTTTTCCCTCTTGTTGGCTCCTTCACCACTTGCTGCAGATCCAGTCTAGTAGCTATATCCTTTAGAACCCGACCAGCTTGATCAGTAGTGTTGCTGTTGAGCTACTGTTGATGATGAACATTGAAATCCCCCACCCAGCGTATGTTTTGCACCCTATCCACACTCAGTGCTTCCTTTCAAGTGTTGTTCAACATGGAGGAGTACTGATTCATCAGCCAAGGGAATGATATGTGATAATCAGGAGGCTTCCTTGCCAATTTTAACCTGAAGCCATTAGACTTCGTGGGGTCCAGAATCAATGTTGAGTACTCCCAGGGTAACTCCCTCCCATCTGTATACCACTGTGCCGCCATCTCTGCTGGGTCTGTTCTGCTGTTGGGCGTGGACATAGCCAGGGATGGTGATGGTAGTGCCTAGGATATAGTCATGCTTACAGACTTTAAAGGCAATGTCAGGCTGTTGCTTGACTAGTCTATGAGACAGCTGTCCCAATTTTTGGCACTAGACCCCAGAAATTAAGTAAGGATGGCATTGCAGGGTTGACCGAGCTGTTTCTGCAGTTGTCTTTTCCAGTTAATTCTAAATTTTTTATTGAACTTGAATTCAAATTCTAACATCTGCCATGAAGGGATTCGAACCCAGGGCCCCAGAACATTTGCTGAGTTTCTGGATTATTAGTGTTGTGTTAATACCACTGGGCCATTGCCTCAGACCTGCAGAGTTTCTTCATTGCTTTGCTTCGGTTTGGATTTTCAGATCCGCAGTTCTTTGTTTTATTGTAGCCTTTATATAACTTATTTTATGGTCTTGGGCTATCACAGTTCTTGGATTCCTCACTCTGTTGTAATGTAGGCACATATGTACAGGAAGATCCCACAAACAGCATTGTGAGAAATGCCTGACTGTATATAATACACTTCTGATTGATTGAAAACATTAACTGATTGGGCTTCAGTTTAACATCTGACCCAAAAGATGGCACTTCTGACAGTGCAGGACCCCCTCAGAACCACACTAAGTGTGACAGCTTGGATTGTTTGTCTAAATCTCTGGATTGGGTCTCAAATTCGTGACTGCCCAATGCAGCCAAGAGTGCTACCATTAAACCTAGCCTGACATTAAGCATTAAAAGTTGACTATACCTTAGTGTATTTGTTGTTTCTCATCTTAAAAGAACACGCCTAATTTAGCATCTTCCTAAAGAGTTTGTACCATCTGGAATCTGAGAGAAATACTGAGTCAAGGTGGTGATTAGAAGTCACCTGAGCTGAACTTTTTGATTTTAAAAAAATTGTATTTAATAGTATTTTCACATTTATTTTGTATTATTTTTCCACAGGCTTGTTATTTACCCTGGGCTCTGCTCATATTCAACTTTATTCTGAGAAATACGTAAGTGCAGAAGAGATTAAATTCTCTATTTCTTTATTGCATTGATACAACTGATCAGAAATTTATATTGTTTGAATACACAATGTAAAAGTCGGCCTTTTTTGTAGACCAGGAATGAGTTGTTACCTGAGGTAAGTCAGTGTGGTTTGTGCTCTGCTGGTGAGAAGCCTGGAGAGGCTGGGAACGAGGGCGAGATGGAGGGTAGAGCTGATGAGGCAGAGTTTTCTTCCTCCCCAGCAGAAGCAGAGACAAACAGCAGCACCAGTATGATAAGTGGAGGGAGGCTTGTACCAGGAGGTCAAGGGGGTGGGGAAGGCAAGGTCAACTCCAGGAGCCAGCTTTCATTTTTGTTTCATGGTGAGAAGGACTCCATGGAATTAAATATTTGTTAATTTAAAAAAATTCAAAATGTGCTAATAATGTCCAGTTTAATTTTTGGAGCTTCCTAGAAGGCCTGCAAATGAGCTCAAGTGGTTACCATGAAGCAAGGCCAGATTTTTGACGGGACTACTGCTAGCAGTGTTTTTAAGGTTATTACAAAAGATTGTGCAAACTGGAATTGTCATTAAGGTTTGTTACATAGACATAGGACGTATTTTGGTAAAAGAAACAGCACAATCGAGGAGGAACTGCCAACCTCTAATTAGTTCAATGTTGAATTTTTTTAATGTATTCCAGAGAATGGTCATGCAGCCTTGATACTGATGAGTATTTATATCAAAGACAGCCTCCAAAGGAGAGACTTCAGAGATATTTCAAACCCTTGCCAAAGCATAGCTTAGAATCAAAGAAATCCTGAAGTGTTGTGGTTAAATTAAATCCTTTGTTCATGCGGTTGAATTTGTTAGTGGAATTTCTCTGGGTTGTTCAGTAGTTTTCTTGAAACTAAATTTTGCAAAATTTTTTTTTTTTTTTTTTTAAAAATGCTATTCATCTTGGGGTGTAAGTTAATTCTTTTTAACTCCATGGCAGTGTGATGGACGAGCTTGTTGGTATCTTTGTTGGCCACATGTACTACGTCTTGATGTTTAAATATCCTCAAGAATACGGTGGGAGAACGTTTCTTTGTACGCCGCAGTTTCTGTAAGTAAATTTAGCTGGTCCTGCTTCTTTGCTGTTGACTTTGTTTCACTGAACTCTAACCACTTTGTATGTTTTGTGAAAGATTATACTTGGAAAAACTTCTTTTCTCTTTCCTCTCTCTCTCCCACCCCCACTCCAGGACTCGATGGTTTCCTCCGAGGAGGGGTGGCGTATCTGGTTTTGGAGTCCGACCAACAAGCAGGAGACCACAAGCTGAAGATGAGGGGGGTCGATGGGGGAGAGGCTATTTCTGGGGTCAAGGCCAAAGATTAGGAGACAACTGAACTTTTCTTTTTCTATGGAAGAGCCCAACACCTGCATTTGTGTCATTTACTGTACAATGTGTTGACTAAGAGTATCTTGTGCTTTGGAATCGCAGCTGAAATTTTAATGATTGTGGGATGCTGGTAGGAATGTGATGTCCACTTGGCTGCTAAGGAAAGGAGGATAAGCAAATTGATATGGAAATGTACAAATGTAAATCTCCTGTAGACTACCATAAATCTGACCTTTACAGCAGAATCTCATTTTCAGAAGAATTTTGTAGAATAAATCAAAGTTTATGACTTTAAAAAAAAATTGACCAGTCTATAGAAGGAGATATATTTCCAGTTGTTAAACTAAAAGTTGCATATCCACCATAAAAGGCTATTTTCCTTTCACACCTTCCCTGAGTCATGATATAGATCCCCTCAAGAGAAACACAATTTCGCAGAATTACTGATTTCTCTCCTGTTTAACAGGCAGGGTCTGCATTGATCAGGTTGACAAGGGATATCATGAGGGTAGAGTGTGTGCATTCTGTATTTCTCTCCCTCTGTCATGCACACATGCACACTCATTCTACCTTTTTAGCATTTGTCCTAATTTTGTGACCAACTTCTCAGGTCTTTGGCAGAGCTGTTGTCACTTTGGGAGATTGCTGGATGTGTGTAGTGTTGGAAGACGGCGTGGGAAAAGAGATTTCTGAGCACATCAGTTGACTGAAAAGCACCCACCAACCAGGGATGATATTCTGAAACAGCAGCAACTCCTGCTGATCATCCACAGTGACTCTCAGAGCTAGTTTCACCATTGCTGTCAGAGTTTTAAGGCTTACATAGTTTGTTGCTTCTGTCAATTTATTTTCAGCAGAGGTGAAAAATAGGAAGTTCATAGCAGGTAGAGAATGATGCTTCAATCATTTAGGTTTTGTTTTTGCTAATTTCTTCACGATAGCATAGCTATCAGAATTATTGCCAAATTGTATTCCTCCTTATATTTGAGATTTAAACAGTAGGGGTGGGTGGTGGTGGTGGTGGTGGAAGATTGTCTTGAATCTGAATGATCAGCACCATGAACAGAAACGGTGCTTGCAGGGACAGATAAGCCTGCTTAGCAAACACTGATTCTGTTTCAACTTTGATCCTTTGTCGGTACTGTTTTTCTAGATCTCTGTATGGCACCAACTGAGAGGCTGGCAAACTGGGGCATTGACCAGCATTCCCCTGGAGGTAGCCACTAAGATGTGCCAAGATAGGAGCCACATTAGTTTCCCCAATTCCTGGCCTGCATTTGGTATTGGCTGCTGGAAAGGATTAGTGTTATATTAGGCCTGAAATGTTTAACTGGTTCATCCATCCTTGGTGCCCTGCCGTTCCTTGCTTTGATTTAAAGGATATGGATGAAGGGGTTGTGTAAGTTTGAAAATGTACTTACAGCGACTTCGTTGGTGTAACTCTCCTTACAAAAGCAATCAGGTGACTAGAAGTGCCATAAAGACATGTCTTTTGAACCAAGTCATGTTTCCTTCTCAATCCTGATCAGTGCTTCACTTCCATATTGAAATCTTTTATTTAAAAAGCCAACTTTGTCGTGGTAGGTAATATTTAAAAATAAACTCTTTTGAATTTCATACTTCTGATAAATATTCTAAAAATAAAATCTAATGCCTGTACCTCCTGTATTCTAAATTCCAAGTCTTTATTTATAAACCAGATCTTCTTGTCCTGTACTGTCTCGTTCTGTCAGCGGAGGCCGTAAAATGCCACATGTCGGGTAGGGGCTGTGGGCCTGAGTGCAAAGCTTCTGTGGGCACTTGCCATTCTTAATGCAGTGCTGGGAATTTATAATGAAAGCAATTGACATGTTTACAATGGAAATACAAAATTTAAGATAGAACACAAACTTTTTGTAATGGGGCTGAATTACATCTCCACCACGTGCCCTTTTAACCCTGCTTCCTCCTGGAGCTGCATTCTGTTGACTGCCATGATCTGGGAGCACTACCAGTATATTTTATTATAACTTGCATTCTCGTGACTGTATTTAAGGATCACTGGTCTGATTGAAAGGAAGATTAAAAAATTAATAAAAGGGCATCAGTTCTAGCAGCAGATTCTTGTCAAGCCCCTTTGAAATTTCAGTATTTGAAGAAATAACTTTCTAATGGTAGTAACTGTATATTGTTCAATTTTGAATAATGCATATGCATTTTTAAAGGTAAATTCTGCTGCAAGAGAAAGCAGGGCCAAATTAGTAGTGTGGTACTTATTCTTTGACTTGCAATAGCTCTGAGCAGACACAGAAATATGGAATTGGTAAATCAGATTATTCCATATTAAACGGGTCTGTTTTCTGTTTAATTAGTTTCCAAGTGAAATGTTCACAGGTGGTATGGTATAGATACTTGGTTTGTTTGTTCAAATAACCCAAGGCTTCAGAAGTGATACACAGTCCATTAAATCTAGGCACATCCACATGAACAAATTGAATGTTGCCCTCTTAACCTGTGAATGTAGTCTAGTCGCTGGAGACATGGGGGAAATAGCAATTTAGCATTGTACAGTCTTGCTAGATTGCCTGTGATTATATGGTTTTATTAATTAAAATCCTGGAACCTCATCTTCCTTTGTGATGGATTTAAATATGATACATAAGATTTAATGTTCAGTTTGGATTAGACTTTATTTCACCCACTCAACAAAAATGTTTTTTTTAAATCTGCTAGATGGATGAGGAAAGGTTTTTATTTATGTCTTCTACAACCCATGAAAGATTATTTCTTTCTGCAGTGTGATTGAATTAGGTTTTTTTTTGTGCTGGTCTCTTCCACTGAGGAAGTTTGATGTATAAATGAAAGATTATTGGCAAGACCTCTATCTACTGATTCCTAAAGCTGTTTTGTATAAAAGTTGTACACTTTTGTAATTAAATCACAAACTTCTGAAATTCTAAAATGAAATCTTTCAAAGGCTTATCATTTTTTCTTGTGTGCTATAGCTGTAGAACATATTACTGTATTGATGGGAACGTGTAGGTCATAGTTCACTGCTGAGAGTTCTTGATCTTGTAAAGTGGGAGATTGCTTCTGCATTTCAGACACTATCGTTGACAAGTCAATGGCCATCTGAAGAAGTTATATAAAGTAAGCTAATAACAGCAAAGTAAAGACTTAAGAAAACAATTAACTACAAGAGGCTAAACTGCAATCTTATCAATTGCTCTTGCCTCATTCACTTCCTTGCAGTTCATCTGTGTCACTAATTCTGGTGTGTTGAGCACCACAGCCTTGATTTTAATTGCTTTACCATTGGTGGCAATGCTGTCAGCTGCCTTGTTGCTATGCGCTAGAATTCTCTCCTTTAACTTTATCACCTCTACCTCATCTTTGTTCTTTAAGGGGCAGCTTACAATCTACCTCTTTGACTAAGGTATTGGTCATAAGAGGATAGCCTCTTATTATACAGCACTCCTGTGAGGCCCCTTGGAATGGTTTATTTTGTATTTATGTTCAACAGTCTATGTAAAGACAAGTTGTTTTCAAAATGCGCCTCATTGTATAAATGCAGAAGTCCTGAATTGCAATGTTATATTTAAATCCTGGGGATCAGAAGTGCCAGGTTTAATCCCACACTGGCTTTGATGCTACCATTTGCTTCAATTATGTCTGGGATATAATAGGGTGCTAATGTGAAAATGTAGCTTTAGTTTGACCAAATTAACCAGAATGAATTGGAAGTAATAGTTTAAACTGTCATGTCGACAGAAACCAAAAAATACTGAGAAGCTGCTAACCACACAGGATAAAAAAAGAAACAAGGCTCCAGACAGGTGGCTGCTTTGATAAAATAAGAAATGGTTAACCACAGAGTTGGTTATTAAACAGCTTATAACCAGAGACATGGAAGAAGGATCTGATTGTATAAAAGAGGAAGGAACTAGTATAGTGATACTGAGAATTTAGGACCAATGCTTGCTAGAAGGATGATTCTGACTCAGAAGACAATAAGAACTTGGGTACAACTCTTCAGCATGGGACCCAAGGTCAGGGACCTAGAGAACAGCAGTACATTCCAGACCAGAGCCTGATCTTTTCTGATGAAGGGTCTAGGCCCGAAACGCCAGCCTCTCTGCTCCTATGATGCTGCTTGGCCTGCTGTGTTCATCCAGCCCTGCACCTTGTTGTCTCAGAGCCTGATCATCTGTTTTCTGGTAGTATTCTGTGCAGGGAGTGACGCTTGTGAATCTAATAAATACTCTTGTATAACTGATACGGCCTCTGAGTATTTATTTGATTATTGTGATGGCATTTTGTGTGAAGAAATATTATTAAAGAGCACAACAGACAGGTAGGTCCACCTAGATTTTCATAGGAACTGACATTTTAGTGAATGCTGCCAAACATATGTGGAGCTGGACCTAGAAGAACAAAACTGAGGAACTGGTGATGCTTATAAAAGTTCAGTAGTCTGCATGCATTTCCTAGGCTTACACCCAGAAATATGTGAACTAGGTTTTGTAACCATGGATTAGGGAGGTAAAAATTAGAAGAAAAACAATATCTCATCTTCCCATTCAAATAGAAATCACAGCTGACAAGATTCTAGAGCTGGACAAATCGAAGGGATTATACCTGTAGAAGCCTCAGCAAGGTGGCTTGACAGTTGCTGCAGTAGGGCCCCATTTAGACTTCTGGGCTGAAATATAATTCTGCTCTGTAATTTGCTGAGAATGAGAGGTGATAACGGGGCACTAAGGCCAATGGGGACATGTGGGACCTCAGTGAACAATAGACTCAACCTGAGAGGACAGAGAAACCTTCTGTTTCATGTCTGATGGCGTCAGGGAATATTATTGTTCAATATGCTTACAATTGGCCACAGGTCACAAATTGACGTCTTTCATTAGATGAAGTATTTTAGAAAGATGGATAAAATGTACATTACGGCAGCCTATTCATCTAAGGATATACTGCCACCTTCTGCCAGGCAGAATTCATGACAACATTGAAAATCGAGAAATGAGCCTTTACTATGTAACCATATCATTTAATGTTAGACCCCAAGGAAGATGTGAAAACATGGTACATTTTCTTTTTGTTACCCCACAGCTTGCTGCAGTGTAGTAACTAACTGCTTAATCCGAATTCTCTTCAGCCATGAAATTTTGGGACTGATAAAGGAACAGAAGAAATCTGGAGAACAAGGTTGAATGAGAATCAAACCAAGCCCAGAAAGAAAAGAAAAGGTGCAGTATTTGAATAACGTTTAAATCTCTAAAAGGATCTGCAGCATGGAAGGCAGTGACCTAGTGGTATTATTGCTAGACTATTAATCTAGTGACCTGG